TGGGGGACGGGTGGCTGGGGTTGGGGGACAATGGGGGAGGGGAGTTGGGATTAACAATATTTATAAATTCATTGAAGTTAACAAAACGGTACGAAAGCTTAAGTCCTTAATTCAATCACAACTTTGGGTTCTTTTCCCGAAAATATATTAAATTCAAATATAATATTAAATAAAATAAACTCCTTCCTTGTCATCGGTGCCTTCCATGATTATTTTCTTATTCGTCATTCATGTTACTTATGTGTAACAAGAGAACAAAAGCCACACGCTCAGCATTACTGTTAAGTGAGAAATATCTAACGTTTAACTACGCATATAGATGACTCACTAGCTCATAATTTCATACAATATCATGTACACAAGCACAACATTAACAATATCACATAACAATCATCAAATGAATTCACAAGTCTCAAATCATTATCCTAGTCCATCCTTACTAGTTGCTCATAACTCATATTCTAGGCTAATGCTAACACATCCTTATTCACAAACCTTATCTTAGGACTTGGAATCACTACATACGGTCATGTCTCAAGTCTACTTTAGTTAACACATTACAATACAACACGACTTTGCCAACGAAGGAGTTCTTCGTTGGGTGATATCCATGTCCATCAAATATCATATTCGCAAGGCTAATTCTACTTATTGACATTTACACTTACAATCACAGTAAAGCAGTCCTAGAGTTCTTCTAGTTAGGCTAACCATTTATTTATAACAAGTCTTCACCTTCAGATTTATTCCAACATCAATTTCAATTTACTACATTAGTTCAAGATATATCTCAATTACATTTAAAATATAATATGGGGGTAACATCACTTAGATAATGATCTTCTAATACAAATAGTGGTCTACACTTACCATCATGCAACACACAAGTCTTGGAATACATCCCTGACATTTAAATGAAGCATAAAATTTTTCGACAGTACCTGTCAGGAAGTAACGGTAGCAGATTATCGTTCGACTAGAGATAGCCACCGGCCCACTGTAGCCAGCGATCGACCATCGCAATAGTAACTAGTGTGACTGCACCAGTCCACATTTCTGGTTCCCAAACCTCAATTGACCATAGTCAGCGTGTAAAACATCTCAACAACATTCATGAAGATAATTGTAACGCCCTCAAACCGGCCTAGTTTTAAATAAATAAATATTATTTATCTATTGAGACTCATTGTTTTAAATAATAAATATTGAGATTTTGATCCCATTAGATGGACTCCAAAAGTTAATGTTTTTTTTAAATATAAAAAAATGTTTTAATAACGGACCTCTCGACATTAACTAAATAAATTAATTAATGATTGGGGTGGATCCGGAAGTTTGAAAATAAAGTTACTAGAAAAATTATTTGAACATGCCATTAAATTTGTCTTGACTGACTGATTCCAGAAATACTAACGAATCTCAATTCGGACCCGTTCGGAGGGAAAACGCATACCGTTCAGGTCAGATTTTTATACAACAGAGTGGATTATAGGGAGATAACTCCCCATTAATTCCCACACGGCACACACCCCTTGATCTTCCCTCAACTCCCTACTCAATTCCCCTTTAATACCTCATTATTTCCCATTTAACTCCCCTTTAATTCCATTCAATATAATACTCCCTCTCCTCTTCACTTTCTCCACCACAATTGTAACTCCCACTCACACACTCCACTCTTTTCCTCTCCCTTGCATTTTCGGCCACCCAGCAACAGTGAGGCGAGGAGGTTTCCGGTGAGGAGAACAAGAAGGAAGAAGAGAAGAGGGCTACGCGAGAAGCCGTTCATTCATTCGTTCGTCCATTCATCGTTCATCGTCATCCATCCGTTCATTCCATTTACGTTTCATCAACCCCTACGTTTAGAGGTGAGTAGTTGTCCCCTCTAATTCTAGAACATTCAGTTATAATCTATGTCGTTATATTCATATGAATATCGTACGCAACCTACGTAAAATCTATGCATGTTCGTAGGTTAGCCATCAAAACGTTCACTACGTAAAAATCGTATATATTGGCCTAGGAATCACTAGGAATATATTCATCAATGTTTGTATTATTGTTCTAAAAAGAATCAGAGTGTTAAGTTTGCAAAATGGATCAAAACGTAGCCAAGGACAGAACATTGTCACCGGGACGGTCGACCGTTACTTCAGACGGTGGACCGTACCCTCAGCCATCCCGACGGTCACCACCGTGACGGTCGACCGCCGGCCGTGACGGTCGATCGCCGGCCGCGACGGTGGACCGTTTGAGACCCAGACCCAAACCATAGCCCACGATCGACCGCCGGTAGGGTACGGTCGACCGTTCCTCGGGCAGTTTGTAGAACGAGCCCCGTTGCCATATTGACTCAGAATCTGAATGTATGTTTGCATGAAATGTTAATATTCGTTATGTATGTTATTTAATTGATATATTCTTGGCGTTGACCAAAGGTAAATATATCAAGCATTCATCATGTTCATTCCAGACGCATGTCCTAAGTTTTTATCATCATGTGCATGCCGCTGTAGGGAGGTCAGGCTTTCGTGCGCCTACTACAGTGGGCCCGTCCAGGAACCTTTGGGATCCAACGGGTTTTCATCAGGTGGGCTTTGTGTACGTACATGGTAGTCAGGCTACGGCTACCACCCAGTTTTGCTAGTTCACTTGCGATATTTTCGTCGAGCCCGGCTCATTACCGGAGTGCAGGGGTGATCCTGTCAAGTGAGACTAAGCCAGGGGTGTCCCTGATAGTTTAAGTCATGCATCAAGTCATATCGTCATCATGTGGGTTCCATGTCATGTCAACATTCAATGT